TTTGGCACAGTTATGTCTTTAGTCTTTGGGGTACTTTTATACTGTCCAGTATATCTTGTTTTTATTTTTCCTTTTTTTTTTTTGGTAAAAACAGATGGCCAAACCAGGACATATACTAAAAAAAAAAAAAGGAAGGTTACTTACCTGAGCCCTAACATTCCAGCTACCATGGAATCCTGTTGGAGCTGGTCTACAGAAGCAAGATGTATTCTGGGGAGTCACATGTCACATCAAAGCAGGAACTGGTGAGTCTGTATTTTTATGGAGCCTAAAACAAAGAAAATTGTAAGTTGAAAGCCCCCATTGTGCTGCACGACCTTTTTCCCAGGGATACTTGGGACATTTTGAAGATAACATACAGACAAAGTACTATGCTATTTCCCGGCTTACCTAGCTAGAAACAAAAGATAAACTGCAAAATTACTGGCACATAACACACAGCGCTAAAATAAAGATCCATGTCTGTTAGAATTGAAAGTATCACAGGTGTCATCACCTCTGAGGGGAATGCTGATACTATAAAGCACACCATGAGAGGTAATCCCTGCTAAGCATTTCTTGTAGCATGTCATACAGAAATACTCAGGGAGAGAATACATGTTCAAGAGACATGCAACATCAAAATGTCATAACCAAAAAGAACACGTGAAATCCAGAGGCAAAGAAAGTCTCCCTTCTTCAAGCAGCTGAAGTTGCTACAAGCTGCTGTAATATTATGTAAAGGAACTTTAACCCAGAGAGAAAAAAAGCAGAACCAACCAAGCACCCTGGGAGAGCCAAAGTCACCCTCCAAAATTTGCAAGCCCACTTCAGGGCAATCACTTGTAAGCCTTTCAGGTGAGCAAAAAGCAATGTCCAACAAACTTGAGCTCTGTTTCATAGTTTCTCATTTGCTTTTCAACACATGTTTAGAAAAGGGCTTTTGTCATTTACACTTTTCATTATTAAGATAACCACCATCATTTCCTTGTTAAAACTTAAACTGCTCCATATTAGCTCATCTCTGATACCTTGCTGGCCCAAGGTAGCACTTTTATCTTTAGATTAAAAAAGCCTACGGTATACAACCTAGAGACTAGTCACACAATTACTCGAGTAGCCAAACCAAGAGGAAGGGCAACAACAACCAAGTCTTTTAGAGCTGGTCTGTAACTAGCAGGATGGTACCTAGAAACCTAGAATTATCTATTGAGGTGCAGTGAAGCCTTGTAATTCCCTTAACAATGGAGTCATACAATGCTTTGAAATCCCATAAGTCAAGGTAACAGCATTACCTAGTTAGTGTAATAAAAATGAAACTGGTATCCTAGCTGGGGGGCCCTGGAAAAGCCACCACAATTTTTTGTATTATTTGTATACTGAGGGATCTAGACTAAGGTTCCTTCCAGCTCTGAGAGTTTAAGATCTTTGAGTTACTCAAGATTTCATGGAGAGAAAAAAAAAAAAAAACCCTACTAGCAAAAGAGAACAGGTAAGTGAAAACCCAATAATGCAGTGATTTGCAGGTTCACATACGGAACATCCCCATTTCTTAGGTAAGGAAGACAAGTGACCCCTTCCTGAGACTTGCTCCTGAGAGCCCAGACTTCTGCAGGAACTGCACAGCAGCTATATGAGGACACATCTGTATGTCAGCAGGCCCAACAGAAGTGTGCCTTGAAGAAGCTATGAAGGCCAAGGCTTTCTTCTCTAATGAAATGGCCACCCCCACCCTTTGATATGGGAGGGGGGATGCCTCACATGCCCCCAAATTCTCATTCCCACTCAGTTTCCCCCAACACCATACCTACCGTCAAAGTGGTGGAACCAAGTATTTAAGCGATGGCATGCAAGTTAAACTTTCAATAGGAAAAGGTTCATTGCAAGAGAAAGGGAGAAGAGCACAACTTTTGTGGAAGCGAGCCCAAGGAAGGAGAACCCATTTACATCTGTTCTACCCAAAACAAGGTAAAGGCACAGTGGTGACAACCGCAGTTTGACTGGAGAGGGCTGTTACAGAAGCACTGAGGACAAAGTCCTTCCTTTAGAGCAGCAATAACGCTCTACTCAAGAAAAGAAAAGGCTGTGTGGGCCAGCCACACAAGGCTGGTCTGCACGCATGTTACCACAGCAGAGTGTGGAGAAAACACAAGCAGGTGTTCTGCCACACTCCCTGGAACTCACTGCCAGCCTAGGGCTGTGCTTTCTCCCCGTGATTAAAACACTAGTTACTATGAACGTCAAACATTTTCTGTGATTCTCTCCTCTTCATAGATAACTCAGGCAGCCTGGCAACATTCGGCTCTTAGCCAATTAAAAGATTTCAACTGATAGTCACCTCTATAAAAGATTGCAGGTTCCAGGGCAAATCATTTATCAGCAAATAGCCCTGGGAAGGTACTTTGGCAGTGGAAACCCAACCTGAGTATTGAACAGTTTTACCTCTACTCTTCTTTATCCTAGGTTAAAGAGGTGAGCTTCTCATTCCATCTCCACATGGGGGAAGGAGTACTGAGGTGGGAGCAACATCATGTTGGACTCATCTGGCCAGTTTTCCACCAAACTCTACAGCTTGCCTCCCCATACCACTAGATTCAGCCACACAGAGGCACAGCAGGCAGGGAAACTACGACTCCGGCTGGAAATTGCAAATAGAATGCAACATTGCATTCTAACCCTCCCAACACACAAACAAGCAAAGTCCAGCAGGGTTTGACTGCATCATGCTCTATATCAAGTGAAATAAAGACCTGTACTCTAGGTTTAAAGTATGCCAAGCAAATCTGTAATGAGAAATAAGAAAGTGTGATAAGCTAGACAGGCAAGAAAGCCATAGAAGGTTTCTTCAAGCTGTTAGGATCAGATGCCACCAGGCACTTTGCAGAGAAACTGTTTTCTGCAAGTTGTCTGTGCTGTTAAAGGGGTAGGGGCATGAGGAACAGCTAAGTGGAGGGACACCCGAGAGGACAAATGTACTGCCAATGATGCAAACAAAGCAGTCCTCATCCTGTCGCACCTCAGGCTCAGATGTACAAACCTCGGAAACTTCATCAAGTGAGGATCGTGTGTCTGTGGGTGTGGATGGGAATGTGCTTCAGTGATCGGCCACCTAGCTGACATGCCACAAATGGGTGATCTGATGACTTATTTATTCAGCTGTACTCTTAATAGATTGATTGCACCCTCTAAAGTTCTGACATGTCCGAGAAAGAAAACAAAAGCAAGTGTTTCCTAGGCCTTCCAACTAAGATTTGAAGTAGAAGTCCTAAAAAGCCCATAAATAAGCCTATTTTCCTAAATCCCTGGTGGAAATTCCCAAAAGACATACAAATCTCAGACTGTTTTGTTTTGCTTCTTATAAGAATCCAGTACATTTCAAAAGACTTAAGAGGTCAGCTTAATCTCACTGTTAACTGAAATTGCTAAAATCCAGATGAAAATCCCAGCCACAAAACCCCACTTTCTCCTCTAGAATAATACTTGGCTATTAACGGTCAATTTTACTATCAAGGCCCGAATATACTTCATTATTCTAGTAGAACAAAATGCCTAATACTTGTGAGCGTCCCACAAAGTCTAAACCACTTAGCATCACATGCAGGAAGATACGGTTCCATGATCACCAACCACCCCGAGTTCCATCCTACCATCTGGGTACTGATGTAGCACAGGAGATAGCGTGTGAATGCACTGCAAAGTCCATTCCTGTTCCTGGAAAAATAACCAGAAGCACACACCTGCCTGACCATGAGTCAGGAATATCACTTTTGTGGTGGAGCCCATTTCTGCCATGACCAATCCACACCAAAACACACGAAAGAAGCGACCCCAACACAGGTATTCCAAAGCAAGTTTTCCTGCCTCGGATCCACATTTAGCAATGTCATAAACACTCTCCCCTGGGAGAGCAGTCTTTTTAGACTCTTCATAATGACCGTAAGTCTTCAGTGCAAAACCACAGAAACATTGCCACGCCACGTAAAAGTCACCTGAGTTTCAGTTTGGGTGATTCAGTCGTAACCAAACTGAAAAGAAAGTAAACTTTCAGGGACAATTGTAGGAACCACAGCGATGCAATGCACTTGCCCCATCTGGTATTGGTGATGTTGAGCAGAGCGTGCTCCCGGACTGTTGGGAGTCCGTTACATACTATGTCCCACTCCACTTATGTAACTACAAGATCATCGGCGAAGTGGAGGGGCCTCATATTCTGAGGCCACAGCACCCCCAGACTCTGGGGGTGCGTTCTCACCGAAGAGCCTCAGGTGATGTTAGACACACAGTCCTCTACCCACGGCTCCTGTGGGAACTATAACCATCTCTTCATGATGAGTTGTGGGACCAGGAACACAATGTCTAGTCCCTTTTGTGGGTGGACAGTAATTCCCACCCACTTGTTCCTGCTAAAAGGAAAAGGAGATGGTGGACCGACTCGTTCGCCGTGGGGGGCAAAAGTCATGGAATGGGCGAGAAGGAGGGGGAGGCAAAGCCTGGAGATGGGGGTGAGAGCGCCGGAGCCCTTGTGGCGCACTCTCCCGACGGGAGGCAGACTGCGCACGCGCGATAGCTGGGGGGGCCGAGTAACGGGAGAGGGGGCGCGCGAGGGAGGGAGAGGGGAGAGCGCGATCCAGGGAGAGGCCGGAGCCGCGGGCGCGCGACGGAGCCGCGGGCCCGAAGCCCCGAGAAGGGCACGACGCGCGCGCAGCCCCGACAGGCGAAGCCCGGGCGACAGGGGCGTCCGTGGGGCCGGGGGCCGAGATGCGCGCCGAAGGCGGGAGGAGGGGGGCGCCAGGCGAAGGCGGTCCTGAGAGTCTGCTCCGAGGACGGTCACTCGCGAGTGCGGGTGACGGGCCGAGGGGGGAGCCGTCACTGGCGGCGGCGGGAGGGGGAGGGTAGAGAGGAGGGACGCCATCCGCCAGCCGTGTCGCCCGACCCCGCGAGCCCCTCCCGCGCCACGTCCCGCCCCTACCCTCCGCCCCCCGGCAAGGGTCCCTGCCCGCGACCGCGGCGGTCCCACTCACAGTCTCTCCTCCTCGCCTCCTCCTCCTCCTCCGCTCGGCGCGGCAGCGGCGGCGGCGGCCATTTTCCGGACGGCTTTTACCACAGCCCTCTCTCCGAGAGGAGGGAGCGCGCGCGCCGCCGACGCCGAGACCCCGCACGGCCGACGTCGCGCCCCGCCCTCCCGGTCAGCCTGCGCGTTGCTGCACCTGCGCACCCGAGTCCCGCCCCCGACACCACCTCGAGGCCGCCCGCCATTGGGTGCGGAGGCCAAGGCTGGGCGTGGCCTCGGCGGCAGCACCGCCAATTGGCGGGAGTTCGTGTCCATTCCGGCCAGGGAAAAGGGGGCGGGCTCCCCTGTCCAGCTGCCGATTGGCTGCCGTTGGCCGTCATTTGGGGGAATGAGGCGGCTTGGGCGCGGAGGGGTTGGTTTAGTGGGAGGAATTTGAATATTAAGGATTAATGGGCCCTTGCGGATGGCGGGGCAAGAGAAGGCCTAGGCTAGGGAAGCCTGTTTGCTTGGCTGTTCTGGGCCGTTGATCTCTGTCCACAAACGCACAAAGTATGCTGCTCATAAGTGTTTCATTGTATCCGCATTTTATCAATGTCACCACATTTAGTAGAAGCAGCAAAGTTGTCTGCCCTGGCGCCTGATGTTCCAGTCCTGGGACCTTGGTTTAAGAGGCCTACCCCTTGCATTCTTTCATCTGAGCCTGCTGTGTGCTGCATTCTTATAGGGGCAGGGAATAAAATAAAATAAAACCACAGCCCTAGGCTTCGTGAAACTCCGGTGGGGGGAAGAGGGTGCATACCAAGGCTGCACAAGACCTGTCATTGTTGGATCAGATGGATTGGTGGAGGTGTGGAGAAGCAGCAGCGGGAGCACAGCGAAAGCGACACTTAGCTCTGTCTTTCAGGGAGAGGAAGACTTCGTAGAAGAGGTCATTTGGGAGATAAGATCCAGCAATTCTGCTTCAGAAAAATATTTAAGACAATGGGAAAAGTTTTAGCTAATGGAGTGTTCAGGACAGGACCATTTGTCAAGGCGACTTTACTGATTCCAGCCATCATCCAATTTATCCGATGCTCCTTGTGCTAGTTCTGTGCCTAATATGGAAACTTCTCATAATGATTTGGCTTCCCTCGCCCCCCTGCCGCTCCACCCCCCAACCCCATTCAGTTGTCAAATAGCTGCTTTGTGCCAGGTGCTGTTCCAGGCTCTAGATGCACAGGACTGAACAAGACAGCAAACATTTTTGTGGGAAAGATTCAATCTAAACATACAAATAAGTATGTAGTCTAATGTCACATAGTGATAAGGGCTTTGAGATAAAGAAAGGTTGAAGTGGGTGCTATTTAGATATCCACAGGCTTTTGCCCTCATTTTATTCTCCCACATGGGTATCACGGGAGAGAACATCTCAGGCAAGTTCAAAGACCCTGAAGAGAGACTATGCCTGGCATATTGGGGACTAACAAGGAAGTTCTGTGGCCAGGGAGGCAGCTGGAACCGCCATGGAAACTGGGAGCTTCTTCTGAGATGAGAAGGCATAGGTGCAATGTGGAGAGCTGTCCGTAGTGGAATAAAATTAGGAGCAAGAGCCCAGTCAGGAAGCCGTGACAACAGTCTAGGTAGGAGAGGTGACAGTGGCTTTGGGTGGTAGCAATGGAGGTTCTGAGAAGCTGTAAGATTCAAGCTGTACTTTCAAGACTGAGCAGAAAGGATTGGATGTAGGGTATAGAGAAAGAGAAGAAACAAGGATGATTCCTGAGTTTTTGATCTGAGCAACTGAGTGAATATGTGCCTTTCACCACGATAGGGAAAACTGTAAGAAAAGCACATTTTTGAAGGTACAGACCAAGAATTCTGTTTTGGCCATGTTAAAGTTGGGGTGCCTATTAGACGTGCAAGTGGGGATGTTGAGTAGGTGGTTGGGTCAACAAGCCAAAAATCCAACTCAAGAAGCTATAAAAGGATCAGCAAAGTAAACCTGGGGAAAACAGAAGGAAGAAAAATAAGGATAAGCAGAAATTGATGAAGCAGAAGCAAATGATAGGATTGAGAACATCAAAAGCCGATTCTTTGAAAAGCTGAGAAAAAGCCAGCCCTCTAACAAGTTAGATATAAAGAGAAAATAAACGAGTAAATTATATCAGAAATGAAAAGATGTAACAACAGATGCAATAGATTATACAATAGATAATAGATATGACAGATAAATCTTTTAAAAGGATAGTATGAACAACCATGTCAGTAAATTAGAAACCATAAGAAAATTAATAAATTCCTAGAAAAGCACAGCTTATCAAAACTGACTCTAGAAATAGAAAACCTAGATAGACCCTCTATAACCACAAAGAAATTGACTATGTATTTAAAAAATCTATCCCTCCCCCTCCAAAGAAAATGATCCCTGAGAGCTTTACAGATGAATTCTACCAGATCTTCAATGAGTAATTCCAATCATAAACAAAAAGGAAATAAATCTCTCTAAACTTATTTATCAGACTAGTATTACTACTATACTGAACCAATGAAACTATGACAATGTGGAAATAGATGTGCAAATTCCAGACAACTAAACTGAATCCAGCAGAATATGATATAATGTAACCAAGTTGAGTTTTATCCTAAGAATATAACAATGAATTAAAATTATAAAATTGGGATGGGGAAAAAATTAATTAATTAAAAAAAGTAAAATTAGAAAATCAACCTTAACAGATTCAAAGGTAAACAAATTATATCACTTTTTCAAAAACGTAGGAAAAGTGTTTGATAAAATTCACCTACTTCTGATTTTTTTAAAACTTTGAGAACTATGAATAGAAGGGAGCTTCCATAATCTGATCAAAGATATCTATAAAAAACTTAAAAACAAACATCATATTTAATGATATTATGTGAGAACAAAGAACAAAGCAAGAAACAGAACAAGATCTACATCATTCATGTAAAATAAAACACATGTATCCTCCTCCTACCATTCTCTTTTAAACCTCATCCTTGGAGTTTCACCATGAGTGAAAAAAAAAAAATACCCACTAATTTCCCTGGTTGTTAAGATGTGGATCCTGCATACAGATCCAGCCAGTAATAAAAATCTGGAAAAAGTAATGGGGAAAAAAACAGATTGAACACACTCTAGCTGCAAAAATTATAAACTGTCTGAGAATAGACTTAATAAGAAATGCCAAAAACCTATATTAAAAACTATAAAACTTTACTGAAAAACATAAAAGAAACCTTTTACATAAAAATATATATTGTTAAAAAGTACTACCATATTCCTGGAAGGGAAGACTTGACATAATAAAGATGTCAATTGTTCATAAATTAACCTGGAAATTCTTTACCTGATTCAAAATCTAGGAGTGCTTGGAGACTGTAACAAGTTAATTCTAGACTGGGAAGAGTTAAGTGTACAAGAGTAGAAGTCAAAACATTTTCAGAAGAGAAAAACAATGAAGAGGGTCTTGCTAAATTCCTTAGTTTGAATAAATGGGACTTAAATAATACAAGTTTACTCTTGCCATTGAAAAGTAGAAAAGTACACTAGAGTTTAAAGTGTTTACTAATAGAACTAAAAATGGGCCATTTGAAAAAATGGAAATGTAACATATTTTTAAATGCATCCCCTCAAAAATGCAACTATAGAATATAATATAAAAACCAGGAAAATACAGTATAGATAGCAACTGATGGAAGACCAACAGCCAGAAGGATTTTATCAACATGGCAGACACAGCGCAAACTTCTGCTCCATCCATTCTAAAAATCTCTTGAACTGATAGAAAAAAAATTTTTTAGAAGAGAAATTCCAACGTGACAATGGAAAATGGGAAGGGTAAAACAGTCCAGAATTTTTGAGCTGACATCCCAGATGACACCACAAAAAAAATGTTAAAAACCACAAATTTGTTTCAAACACTATGGAATGTTGCCTAAAGTTGCTTATGAATTAGACCCCTCAAAGAAAGAAAATGCAACCTCAGTAAATTCCAAAATGTACAAATCATGCAGTTCATTCTCTGGCAACAATACAATAAAATTAAAACTAAGAGACAAAAAAATAGGCAAAAGTAAAACAAAAAAAACACTTACCACTTGGAAGTTTTAATACAGGCTTCAAAGTAAGTCTTTGGTTAAAGAGGAAACAAGAAGTAAAATGATAAACTCCTCAGAAATGACCAACAATGAGAGCCCTACATATTAAAACCTATGCTGTGTGGCTAAAGTGGTCATTTAGAAAAATTAATAACCTTAATTATATTTATTAGAAAATAGGAAAATAGACAAGAAATGAGTTGATTCTGACACATCATGCTCACATTCTTATGCATGCCCACACACACTCATATGCACAGAGTTCTCCTTTACCCTTAGAAGCTCACTATAAGAAATGTATCGAGGAACAGAAAGGAATAAACCCATCAAAGTGAAGAGAATTTGGTGAGGATGGGAGATTATTCTTAATGGACAAATTTTAACACTTGTTTGGAATGCAGATGGAAACTAGTTGATGATTAAAATAGGCAGGAAAAATTAGCCTAGAATATTCAACAAAGAAACTTCAGAGGAGGTGGGAGCCAGTTTGTCAGAGAGCAGGCACAGAATCAGCAGGCATATGGTGGAAGGCAATAGAATGCACCGGTTGGAATCTACTCTCCTCCACCAGACAATTGATATGGCAGCTGGGGCAGGCCTGCAAGGAAAACAGCTGACGGTTCTCAAAAGAAACTGAATGAAATGTCTGTAGAGAGCTAGGACTTCCAGCGTGGATGTTGGCAGACCCTGAACAATTTTCTCCTAGTTCTAGCATTTGAAGGATGCGCGCTGTGTTCCTCAGCTCCCTGCCCTATACAGAGGAGTCAGAGCAGGAAAATGAACCAAGTTGCCCTAAATGAGATTAAGTCCACACTAGTTATCCAGCACTTTATTAAATATAAACCAACCACTAAGGATCATCAGAAACTTGAAGCTCTTCAACTTTAAAATAGCCAAGTATAACGTATAGGGAAAAAATGAACTTGGAGGAATCCCAGAAAATTCAGGGTACATAGGGGGAAGAATTTTTTTTTTTAAGAATTTTTTAAAGTTAGTTAGCATATTCAGAGAACTAAAGGACAGTATCATATCCACAAAACAAGAACAGCATATTATGTAA